CAAGGTAAAATAAATAACTTGGTCACAGTACCTAACTAGCCACTTACCATTTTTTAATTTACACTTACAGTTGTGTTCATACTTAAGACCATTCTCCAATTATTTGAAGGCTTTATTTTATCAGATATATTATATTTATTACCATGAGGACCAATACATTCTGGTCAGCATTTAGCATATGTTGAATTATAATAAAAGAAACCACACAACCAGAAGCACATGAATATCTCTAACATGTTTTTGTACCAGTAATAACATAACAATTTACTTAACATGTTGCTGAAAATGGACTTAAGTCACCTATGATTCTTTCAACAGGGATAACCCCTTCAACTTCTTTCATGTTTTCTACACAACAACCATTTAATACTTGCACCAGATTGGCTGTTATTTGTGATTGAGCTGATTTAGGGAGGATATCAATATCCCAACATAAACAGTGAGGAGAATATCAGATTACTTTACAACACCAACATGTCTGGCAGAAGGATTCACCATGGTAAGTATATTTAATAAAAAGTACTCCTACTTTCATAAGCAGGTTACTTTTAGGAGTAGCATTTATTATTGATGTAACAACCGACTCTCCAAACAATAAACATTATTATTAGCTGTATGCGGAGCTGAACCCTGTTGATAGTATTTTTTTATTATTATTATAAGAGCTATATGTTCTCAATGTTTTCCTTCTGCTTGATAGAAATTTCCAAACTCATTTTTTAAGACACTTTTCACATTTATGTACATATTTGGCGGTATACAGCGCGGTGCTGCTGCTGTGTCCGACTCGGTGTGCGGTGGTGTTGCACAGGGTGTGGGTGATGGTGATGATGTTCAGGAAAGGGAGGTGGTGGTTTTGTGTGAAGTAGAAGAAAAGGAGGATGGGAGAAATAAAAATAAAATACAATCTTTAGATTCTGTTATTTATTTTTTAGAACTTTTTTATTACATGTGCACACAATTTCCCCTCAAGATGTATACGTTTAATAGATAATATTAACAAAATTGGTAATAAACTCAGCTGTTAAAATGATAGGCAACCGTTTCCTCCCTCTAACACAAGAACTAGTAATAATAATGGTTATAACAGTAATATAATTTGATTAAAAAAAATAATAATAATCAGTACTGAGCTACACTATAGTAATTAATGAACAATTCCAATTAAATGATGTGGTTTGAAGGAAACTCCTTTTTTGAAAATCCATTCCAACCAGATTCTAGGAGCCGATTAGTGGTGGGAAAAAAATCCTGAAAAGTGATGCCATAATGTTCAAAACAGATCAAAACTCGAAAGGGTCAAAGCATATGTAAAGGCTCAAATGAATCATTCATGCGGAAAGAGTCGGTCTGCTTTTGAGAAAAATGAAGTTCTAGTTGGAAGATGGGCTTGGTCTAAGCGGGTGTTGGAAGTAGGGGGTTATTTGTCTCACTCCTCCCTGCTTGAAGCTTTTGCCCTATTTAAGCTTTTAAAAAATAACTTTGGAGACCACTTTGGATAACACCAGCCACAACGCCAAATTGGGCTAGTTGTGAGAAGAATGGGGAATTGGTGTTTCCTAAACTTTGTACTCCCTACTTCCAGAAATCTTACTTCTACCATGCCAATCTTCAAACTCAACTTCGTTTTGTTCTCAACTGCACCTGTAACGTAACGTGGCAGCATCTTTCAAAGTTGTGATGCTAGGTCACAATTTACCGAAACAAACTCGTTTTTCTGTAGTAGTTCCTGTTACAGTATGTTTCCAGCAACACATTTTCGCATGATGACACACAAAGACGTTCACAAGGCTGATAGAAAGTAGAACTAACTTTTCTTCTGCTATCTACTAAGGTGTGGTAGCAGAAGAAAGGTTAGATCTACAAGAATGTCATCAAACTTGTGTTGCAGAATTTTGTCTCATTGTCATGCTTAAACGCTTAACACCAATGACGGCCTTGTTGTTGTTCCCTAGATAACAAGCAGGCCAGAAAGCTGCAGATGGTGTTGGTTGGGAAGAAGAAAGTTGGTAAGAGTGCAACAGGAAACACCATCCTCAGGAATGAACAGTCTTTCGAGTCGCGGATCTCTTCCACCTCTGTGACACAGAAGTGCCAGATGAAGAAAGGGCGGTTTAATGATCAGGAACTGGCTGTTGTTGACACTCCTGGCCTGTGGAGAGGCAACCCTGACAAAGAGATGAAGGCGATCCAGCTGTGCCTTGAACCCGGCCTGCCCACTGTGTACCTGGTCGTGTTGCAGCTTGGCACATTCACTGAGGATGAAAGGCAAATGGTGAAAATAATCCAGAAGGCCTTCGGTACAGAGGCGGCATATACACCATGGCCCTGTTCACCAGAGGAGATGATCTGAGGGCTGATGGAAGGTCCGTTGAAGAGTTAATCGGAGAAGATTCTGCCCTGTGTGACTTCATTAGAGAATGTCATGGGCAGTACCATGTTTTTGACAACAGAGAAAAAGATGATCCCTCCCAAGTTAAAGAGCTGCTGCAGAAGATCAACCGCATGGTGAAGCACAAGGAGAAGCTAACTCCTTCAAAAAAAATCATCACTCTATGTGCAGTGATCGCTGTCATAGGTATTGGGAAACGCATTGTTACTTGAATGCTTTCTGTAGCTTTTAATAGGAAATGTACCACCACGTTGTCTTGTTTTGAAAGATTTAGGTCCAAGGTCCTACATTTAATGTGCCCTCTGCCACGTTTGACCTGCCTTCTTTGCATACTACAATGAATTTTTTGTAGACCACCCAGTAGTTATTGCAGATGAACAAAATTACCTTTGTTTTTTATAGGAAATGAATTGGACATCAAGTCCCGTCAAGTCATTGGTGTAAGAGTCCAACGGCTTGGGTTTTGGTGTTTAACATTAACAAAAGTTAACGAATATTAAAAGGTATAAGTACAAAAATAAACTAAGAAAAGAAGAACATACAAACAAAAAGATGTAAATTACTATAAAATATGTACATATGTAATATAGGTGTAATATGGATGTAATACATCATTTCAAGTATGACTAAAGTGCCATAATATAATTATACATCACAAAGTATGAGTATCATTTTTGAAACACCACATTGAAACTCAGTGTAGGGGGGAAGTAAGTGCAAATGGTTTATCATAAATAACACATCATAAATTGTTTTCTTTTTTGAAGGATGTGTATCACCTATGGATTAATTTGTTTAGAACTTGAAATAAGGACCAATCTCAGGTTGAAAATAAATCAGGATAAAAGCGTCAAAATGTATCTATACAAGTTGTTACAATACAAGGAATCTTTAACATCACATTTATCTTGTTGATAGAGTGGGATAAGATGGTTTAAGCCTGAGAGACCATTTTGATTATTGATATCATATCAGAGACCCTCAATATATATATAAAAACATCAGGATGACTCTTTCTTGGTAAACATCTGACTGGGCTGTAATTTTACATCTGGTATTTTTTTAAATTAGACAATAACAATATTATTGACAACATTTCCAACAACACCTTCTTCAGAAAGTCATTTTTTAAGGAGAATAACTCCTATATAGTATAAACAGACAGATCAGACTCTGGATGGTAAAGGTGGTATACTTTTGAATGCTCCCAACATATGTGTTTCCTTACAAAGTCAAAGATTATGTATATATTCGTAAATATTACATTACATTGCATTTAGCTGACGCTTTTATCCAAAGCGACTTACAATAAGTGCGTTCGACCAACAACATGCAAACTTGAAGAAAACAGAATCATATAAGTACATCAGGTTTCCTAGAGCTAAAACTAAAGCTTTAGATAAGCCAGTCCTTTGTTAGTATATAAGTGCTTTGTTAATAGTTCTATCGCTCGAAGTGGAGTCGAAAGAGATGAGTTTTCAGTCTGCGCCGGAAGATGTGTAAGCTTTCTGCTGTCCTGATGTCAATGGGGAGCTCATTCCACCATTTTGGAGCCAGGATAGCAAACCCACGTGTTTTTGCCGATGGGAACTTGGGTCCAAATTATAACAAACTGGACTCATTGTAATTATATAGAAGACTGGTCTTTCAGTTATTATATGGGGTTTATTCAGTGTGCGTACATTAAACACAATTGTTACATTTAAAAGAGCACTCCACATGTGTTATAAATCTCAATCTCTACATGTATGGCATCCAATCCATTCCTGTGTCTGTTGAAGTGGTCTCTTAGTTTTTCCAGAGCTGTCTTTTTAAACACTTTATATTACGAAAACCTATTATTTCTCCTTTTTAAATAAGTCCTTAATATTATACCTGTTTAAGTTGTTAAGCGAGGGTTTCTATAAATGTTTTTTGGATATCCTTATTTATTATCTCTATTCAAACATACATTCGTCATGGAACTAAATAACCTTTTTTTCTGCATTTAATGCTTATTGTGTCTATATTGTACTTATTTTAATGAACACCTGTTACATGCTTTTGTTAATTGAAAAAAATTATATTTCACCTTATATTCAACAAAAAAATCTTAGTATATATTTTCACATACTATCAGATGTAAAACCTGCTGTAAAAAAATGATGAAAATTAATTGATTGATTTAATCTTTTCAATATTGTAACCGTTTAAGTAAAGTTAAGTTTGGGTTTCTGTCAATTTGATATCATCAATTCGTCTGTCTATTTTCACATCATTCTTTCATGGAACACATATCTTTGATTTCTCCCTTTTTTATGTTATCTTTATTGTACGCCCTTTTCTCAAGACTTGTTATATTTCCAGAATGGTATTCAATAAAAACACAAACATTTTACTCATATTCATTTGAAACTTGACTGTAAAAAATGTTTTATGTTATCCTTAATTCTATGCTACAAACTATATCATGGAACTTATACATTATTTATTTTGTATACTGTACTAAATTAATTTAAGACTTGTAATTACAAAATGTGTCGTTTTAATATTGAACACAATTAAAACGTAATTCCACAGGGGGCGCTGGTTGGTTAAATGTGATACTGAAGCGTGCCACAATTTGAGAGTAGAAGAAGAAGTTCACTTCACGCACTGGTTCGGGGCAGTTGTTGAACGCGAGGCAGACGGAGTTGTGCGGGAAGCAGTCGCCAATTTAGTGGTTGTTCAGTCTCAAATACCCAACAGGTGAGGGGAATCCATTTAAAAGAACACCCAGTGTGAGTGTGTGCGGACTTTAACAAACAGGTAGGCTCTTTCGTAGCCGAGAATTCAAGTGTTTTGAGGAAGGCTGCTAGGCCTCAAAGGCTAATCGCCATGAGTTACGGTAGGCCTCCGCCAGACGTCGACGGCATGACTTCCCTAAAAGTGGACAACTTAACGTACCGAACATCTCCAGAAACCCTCCGACGGGTGTTCGAGAAGTACGGCCGCGTAGGGGACGTCTACATCCCCCGAGACCGATACACGAAAGAAAGCCGCGGTTTCGCATTTGTGCGTTTCCACGACAAACGTGACGCCGAAGACGCAATGGACGCCATGGACGGCGCGCTCCTTGATGGACGGGAGCTGCGAGTCCAGATGGCCCGGTACGGAAGACCACCCGACTCTCATTATGGTGGTAGTGGAGGAGGAGGTGGAGGAGGAGGAGGAGGAGGCGGCGGGGGTGGTGGTGGTGGCCGCGACCGAGATCGAGATCGCGATCGCGACGGTGGTGGTGGTGGCGGAGGCAGCCGACGAGGAGGAGGTGGTCCAACCAGGCGATACGGTGGACGACGAAGCAGAAGGTAAGAATAGGCGCGCAAACAGCTCTATATACACACACACACACACACACACACACACACACACACACACACACACACACACACACACACAGTAGCCAGACTCCATTAAAGAAACTGCCGATTCAGAGGGATCCCATTCTACTTACCATTATTGTCCTCATCGAACACAAGTAAAGTATTTTTCCGAACCAGCAATATCCACTCTACAATTCAGCACAGATTAAATACGAAAAAAACATTAAAAAAAAAAAAAACTAATCCGTGACTTTCGAAGTCTGTGAATAGTATGCCACTTCTTTACATTTAATATGGTCCCTTTCAATGCATTTTATTATTATATAATATATAAATTAACTACTATTTCAGTAAATACAGGGTAGGAACACGTGACTTTTTGGATAACTCTGTTGCCAGACTCCATTGAATAATTAACATATTCATGAGGGCCGTGCTCTTTTGAACAATACTTTTCCCAGAGAACGCAATTTAAGTATTTTATCGAAACTGCATAATCCAGATACAGCAAAACTTTTCCAACGTATTTTATTTTCCACCCAACTGGCCACAACTGAAACTATTTACATTTATAAGAAATTCCACTTTATGATGTAAAACAGAGAAAACCAAGAAGCCTTCATGTCTGAGACCCAAAAAACGTGTTTTTATGTCAAACTGTTTCCACATTTTGGACCCCAATTTAACGCTATGAATGTTTCCAGCTCCTCTCCCAGCCCGAGAGACAAGAGACGCAGCCGGTCCCGCAGCAGGAGCCGCTCTCGCTCCCGAAGCCGATCCCGCTACAGCAGATCCAGGTCCCGCTCCTACTCCCGATCAAAGTCTCACTCTCCCAGGAACAAGAAGGTCAAGGCCCCCTCTCGTTCTAGATCTAGGTCCCGATCCAAGTCTAAGTCAAAGTCCAAATCAAAGTCCAAGTCCAAGTCCAAATCAAAGTCCAAGTCCAGGTCCAGAAGCCGCACCCCCTCCAGAGGGTCCAGGTCGAGATCTAAAAGCCAGCCCAAGACCGCAGCAGAGAATGGAGGGGAAACCCCATAAAGCTCAACATCAGGTGAGTGTTGACTACATGTTGCAAAGATTTGTTTTGTGTCCCTTTTGGAACTTTTTAAATATCAGGACGGGAGACAGAGTAGTTTGAATTTTACTCTTGGTAAGTTTATCCCCGTAAGCAGCAAATACAGCAGATACTCTGACATTTTTGGTTTTAAATAACAGTAGCTGTTTTTTTTTACCTTCGAAAGGATGCACCATGAGTCTTTTTTTTTTTTTACCACCCTTGCAATCGTGACCTGCAAAGTCTTCGAACCCATAATCACATTTATGCAACACCCAGTATGAAAGATCATATTATTTAGTGAACACTAACTATACTAAGTTATACTAAGTGTTTGTTAAGAACAGTTCTGTAAACCAAATCTGGAATTTTCTCCTTCCCAAGCTGCGGCATCCTGTTTGCTAAAGTGGAGTTTTTGCTGAGCTGAGGCAGTATGAGCAGTTAGCAGCTATGTGGTGAGCTGCTGCCCGCAGGCCTCTGCTGCTGCAGCTGCTGCTGGTGGGGGTTTCTGTGCAGCAGGGTGTTGGAGGCAGGCAGAGTTGGGGTTTGGTGTAAAGGTACGTCTGTCTGTGTACACCACCGGAAATTAAACTGTCCTCCAGTGCTTGCCCCCAGCCCAGAAACGTTTGGGCTTTCGGGGTGCTGAGGTTTGTCTCCTCATATCAGTTGGTTCACTTCCCTTTTTTTTTGTTCAACATAGGGCAGGGAAATATAAATTATGTCAAGTATCTCAATATTGTTTATTAAATACAGTATTGTTTAGTTGGCCGAATTTTTTTTGTGTGCATGTTTTATTACCTTTAAAGTAAATTGCAGTATAGAAAATAAAAATAAATACCAGGGCAGCCACATTTTGCAATATGCAAGCCGGTCAAAGTTCATGGCGCCAAATATTTACAACGTACTATGTCCCAATTGCTTACATACTAAAAAATAAGGCTAATAATTGGGAACCAGCCATAGGCTACATACATTTGCACATTCGCAATTAAGTGGGCAGTCTATATTATTTGTTTCACCTTTACATGGCAACGTTTTTTGAGATGGAATAACATGAAAAACAAAATACATGGGGGGAGCTATGCAAATGAATATTTGGGACCATGACTATAATAATTATAAGTTAACGGTCTTTAGCGAAGCTAAACTACATGAGCTGTTGTCCAGGCAGCGCATTAACAGGCTTTTATAAAACCAGTCTGATTTGGATTAATTCTGCGGTCCTCTGTGACTTGGTTCTGTCTAACTTTCTCTGTTCTGGCAGTTTTCAGGGGACGACTGACAGCTTCACGTCGCAGACTGGATCCAACCCAAGCAACAGTGTGCCGCTGTAAAAGGTTATTATTGTGTCTTCCATGCTTTGTTTCTTTTATTCATTTGGCCACAAAAATGGCTCTGTCACTTCATCAATGTGCTGTGATTGTTTTTATTTTTCATAATGATTTTTTAAAATCTGTTTCACTGTGGAGAGGAAACACTGTTCTGACCTGGTTTTGTAAAGATGACCCAGGATAAAAACAAGTCATGTTTGTACCTCTTCTGTGCGCTCTTCTCCCCACGGGCCTGTGTCAGGAAGAGATAGAACGTAGTCTGGGTTTCTTTCAATTGTCTGGCTTTGTTTAATCTTACTTGCAGCAGAGATATTTAGTCACCAACTTTCTCAACACAGCTTATGAATATAAAAGAAACAAACCTTACAATAACAATTCAATCACATGCAACAGCCACGGGTCAAATGTTGGTCATGTAACTATACTTGTGAGTTATTCTCTTGGCAAAAAGCTGTTTCTATTTGACATAATTAAAAGGGAAATATTTCTAGAGCTGCAACTGACAATAGTTGTTTTCCATTTATCAATCAATATGTTGACTATTTTCTCAATTTATTCAACCTTTTGCTAACTCAAGCGATTAAATACCGTCTTTGTGTATTTGTCCCATTTCAAAATGCGGAAATTTCTCTAATTTGTTTGTTGTATTCATCCCTAAAGTCAGCCAACACGGTAATTCCGTACACAGGCCCGTGGTGTCCACACACATCTAAAGAAGCATTTCAAAAAAAAAAAAAAATGTTAAAGATAAATCGACAACAACAAAATCAAACTGCTTTATATCACTTTAATTTCAGTGCAAACAATTCATTAAACTGAAGTAACCCCTCAAAAAAACCACCTAATTTACAATCTTTTATTTCAGCAGCTCAGGGCGTATTTGTTAGACAGGACAGCAGACCATTTTAACTCCTGTGATAAATGTGTTAAATGTAATTGCATAAACAGTGAAAAGTGACCGGGGTTGATGCATCAGTTTGAAGATTGTTTCACAGATTTTAAGGACCTTCAATATTTTGTTGCCAGGGCATAATTTACTGGACTCTAGACAAAGTGTCTTTGTGGGGTATTTTTATTTTATTTTTTTATGCTAATCCTGCTTGTATGTTTTGTTTTGTGCACTAGGCGCAGTTGTGTAGCCGTTGAGTATTGCTGGTTAGCTGTTAAGGTGGCGTGTTGCTCTGAAGAGTGCTCCTGTGACTACCAGTGGTGCAGTGCTACATTCTCACCCTTTGTAAGATGACATGCTTTTTTTCCTTTTTTCTCTGTATGGTCATGGATGATAAATGTGACTTTCATTAAAGATTTGGTGTTTTGTCTAAAATTGATTTGTTTTATTTTTGTGTTGTATGTGGCATGCTTTAAAACATATGCAAGTGGGAGAGGAGGTATTTAGATAATTCACTGCATTAAAAGTACTGTGATAATACTCACTAGATTCCAAATGTTTTTTGTCACTGTTATACAAGTATAATGGTAAATATAAGAAGCGTTTGAGGAATAAGACAAGAGCAAAGTTTTTTAAATGCAAAAAATATGTATATCTGGATTAAAAGTGGCAGTAATGTGCACATTTTGTATTATACAGATGTATTATCACAATTAAAAAAATAAATAAAGTTACTTGATTAAATATACCTTTTTTACATTCCACAACTGAGATAAAGTATTAACACAAAAATAAAAACACTACATTTCCAGATATACTATGTATACAAAATGTTCCTGGACAAATATTAAGATATAATGGGAGGAAAATAAACTAAAAGGTACATGATATCGAGACAGGATGTAATAAATATCACTAGTGAGCCAATATGTTTATGGTGTGTATAGATGATGCAAGAGTCGATGTAACATTAATAGTTGAGTAAAAAGTTCAACATTTATTTCTGAGTTGTAGTGGAGAAGAAGCAGCATGAATAACTTATTCAATCACTGTTATGGGTAAATATCAGAGGTGTAAAGTAACTGTACATTTACTCAAGTACTTTAGTTAAGTCCAATTTCAGATCATTGTAATTTATCTGAGTATTTCCATTTTATGCTACTTTGTACTTCTACTGTACTACAATTCAGAGGTAAATATTGTACTTTTACTGCACTACAGTTATTTAATACCTTTAGTTACTTTGCAGTTACTTTGGATTAATGATGTGAAATATTATCAACATTTAAATCAGACTTTAGTTCCACCTGGAGTAATTGAGTTCACAAGCTACTCTGCAGTATTAAAAAAAAAAAAACTAGCTGCACCTTTACCAGCTTTGATAACACTTTAATACAACAATAATTATGATCAAAACACATATTATTCAGAAATGGACCAATCTGCAGAATGAGTACTTTTACTTTTTGTACTCCCAATATATTTTGATGCAAATACTTTTCAACTTTTACTTGAGTAACATTTTGAATGCAGGACCTTATTTGTAACAGAGTATTCCTACTTTCTGGTACTTCTCCTCAAGTACAAGATCTGAGTACTTCCACCTCTGGTAAATATGATTTATTGTACCTAGTGGAGACAATAATCCCTCCTTTGTTTGGCTTATATATTATTACTTTAAAGTACTAATGTAATAGAGCAAAGAAGATTTCTGGTAAAATATAAAAACATTTTATTGTTTCAATTTTTTTTAAAGACATTTCTTATTTATTTTACTCGTATTAATATCATTATAAGTATATATTTATGTTCTACTGCCCTTCACTAATTGTTTTTATTCATTTACATTTGTCTGTGTTTATATCGTTAAAATATGAAACTGCAAATGTACATTTGTTCGATAAACATTTCTACTTGATTTACAAAAAATGAAAAAGGCACTTTTATTTTTTATCCGGAAGTAGTTACTGGCTTGCTAGCTGTAGCATTACCCATAAAGGTTAACAGTTTCTATTTTTTAAATCAAAACAATAAATAACTTAGCATTTATACCTGATTTATACATGGATATTGTAACAAGTGGTTAAGAATGAGTTACATTTAAATTTGCCTTTTAGTGAAGTTCAATAACTAAACAACTAACCGGAAGTAGAATCCATGTTACATGAACAATCTACACAAAACTGGATGGGTTTAAGCAGATCCGCTGTTGATGAAGTCCCTCCGCGCTAAATGTTTGTAAATCGAAGATTCAAGCTAGCGAAACAGCACTACGGTCAGCTGACTAATTCACATGACTGCCTCTAATTCTAGTTTCGGTCCTGTTTACCGGTGAAAACACTCCATGAAAGCAGTTTAACGCGATGCTGAAGTTAGTTTAAAGTAAGTAAGGATACCGGGACTACCATAAGAAGCTAACTAATGTTAATAATAACTCTCTGAGCCCGCACACAGAGGAGCAGCTAGCTAAACAGCTACAGCGGTGTTGGTAAGTTGTTCTCTGTCTCAAACCCTGCACTTGATTTTCTTAAACTTGACGTAAAAAGACACCTCTGTCTATTGTAATCTGTCATTGTCTTGAAACTTACCCTCGCTACAATACAATAAGACTGTAAAAAACCCCATTTAGAAATTAGCCGAGTAAAGCTCCATTGCTTGCCTTACAGTCGGAAAAACGAATGGATAAAACCATGGATAAAACGCATATTTTGATGTTGATGTGATCCAGATAATCCACTGAACAATTCGGCATGAAATTAATTCCCTAACAACATGGGCTTTTATCAACGGGTACTCGTGGAGATGAGGGGCGGCAAACTATTCTAAAAGTTCTTATGTTATGTTATAGACGTAAGTTTTTTTTTTTGCAGATATATCGTGTGCCGAAATTATTCGTCTTCTATACTGTCAAATAAATAATATTTCAAAGCGTTTATGAAATGTTAGTCTTGTAAGTGTGTATGTGTTTGTGATTAAACCACTGATCTTTTAAGGAAGTTTGGTACACAAATAAGCATTTTTTAAAATTGTGTTTTCTAGGTTTAACTGTACAGACGTTCTCTTAAACGTAATGTTACACATACACACATCTGTCTTTTTCCTCTTCAGTTAGTTGAACACATGAACAGTAAGATAAACACCCTTTACAAATACGTCAGTTAAAGCTAAGTTGCTTATAGTCAGCCATTATGCTGGGACAAAAACACACATTAGGTGTTATTGTGATCTAAACAATCCACTTCCTAATTCAGCATACAATTCTTTAACAACACTTCTTAGGTAGTCATTCCTATGCAGTTATCAACAAAAACAGATTGATGGTAGGTAGGTGGTAATGGTAGGGGGGAAACTATTCAAAAAGTACATTTTTATAAGAAAAGGTTTATAGTTTGTAGATCTATAGTGTGCCAAAGTTATCATTGTGCTCTATAATAGAAACATTTCATGAATAGTGTATGACTGTATCAGTGTTTTGAATAAATATGTGTTTGAGTCAAGTTCAGTATAAAGTTATTTTTGTATGACTGTTGCAGACAGTGACTGTAATATTGTATTCGTTGTTCTGATTTGTACTTCTCTTCTTTTATTTTCAGATGTGCTGTTCACGCCTGTAGATTCTTTTTTTTGTCTGTACTTCCTCAAGGAATTTGCAAATATCCTGCAAAATGGGTCCTGAGGGGAAGAGGCTGTTAAACATCGTCATCTTAGGCTTCGGCTTTATGTTTATGTTCACTGCTTTTCAAACATGCGGCAATATAGAGGTAGGCTGAATTGACAAATGCTCATTTTAGATCCAATTCATCATGCTTCAGTGCTAAACTAAATTATTTCTCAATCTCTACAGCAAACTGTCATCAAGAGCTTCAACAACACTGACTTCCATGGGAGTGGATACACCAGGTTGGTATGCTTAGATATGCTGCACACTTTCTCTGCCTGGATCTGCTGGCATCTTCTATAATCAAATCTGTCGCACGCAAAAATCCTTGAAGCATAGTTCAATCTTAGGTTAACCATTTGAGGGGATTTTTGGTCCGAGTTCAGTAAGTCAGGAAATTGCATACACTTTAGTTTGCAGGAGAGTTATTAGAAAGTTTGGATTAGATCTGTCAGGATATCTAATTTTGTTGAATTTATTGTTCCAGAAATAACTGGCAAAAACAATATGATTTTAATTTTAAGACCATTTTGTGCCATTCAAACAATGATAGTATAATGTATTCAAAGGTTCAAGATTCAAAGGCTTTGTCATAGCTGCAGAGCCTTTTTATAATGGTCTTAAGACCCAGGATCTTCCAACAGTTCAACCTACTATACTCAAGACCTAAAAAGTAATAAAGAAATAAAATGGGCATATGTGACATAATGGTGCAAGTTAAATGCAGGATTAAGGAATAAAGTACCTTTATTCATCCCACAGAGGGGAAACATAATAATACCAAACTGAATGTAAAATGAAATACTTGATAGTAGAATAAATACTGTAATAATTTATACATAATTATATTATTAATCTTTATTATAGAGCATGTTTTAATAACAATTCAAACAACATTTTATATTGATTTATTTATATATTCCTCTTTTATTTTATTTATGTATTTCTTATTGTTGTGTGTGTTTATATTTCTACATTTATTTTTATTTTGTATTTATTATTCTTTTATATTTCCACATTTTCAAAGAGCAGAGCCATTTCATTTTCTTAAAGGAATATTCAGTATTTGGGATTTGAATGTGAAAAATGGCAAACAAAGGCAACCCTACGAATAACATTTATTAAACTTGGACAAATCAACTTTTTACACAAAGGTTTCTCTCAACTCTAAGTGACTTCAAGAACATCTACTTACATTTCCAAAAACCTCTCCTGTTACATTCATACAATTGTTCAGCTTAAAACTGCCTTTGTTTCTCACAAATGTCAAAGAAAAATTGTACGGAGGTAAAACTGATATTTCTAACAATTATTCTTGATAAATCTTCGACCTGGTGTGTATGATAACTATCCATTAGTTCTACCAGCAATAATTGGCCTCTTTTGTAGAAGTAAACCGTTTTAGATTTTTCTTTTTTAAAATAGAATCTTAGCAGCTAAGATAAGTGGCACACACATTTTACTTGAGTTTATGCATAATCGGTGTGTTTTCTATCACTTTCAGCATGGCGATAATCTACGGAGTTTTCTCTGCATCCAACCTGATTGCCCCCTCGGTGGTGACCGTCGTCGGGCCGCAGCTCTCCATGTTCTTCAGCGGGCTTTTGTACAGGTCAGAACACAAACACTACGTGAAGTTTATTGATATACAGTACCTAGTGAAATAAAAAATACATATAAAAACAGTCAAGAAAAATGTATAGGTTTTGTTTATTCTATGTAGGTGAAGTTTTTTTAAATCATAGACTCAGGGATTACCAGATACAATTGCCCCTTTTTATAGGCGAGTGAAGTTTATAGGCGAGTGAAGTCACATAAATCACATTTTAACAACAAGAATTCAAGTTGCTTTGCAAAAAACAATAAAAGCATCAAAACATGTCATAGAAATGCATTATAAAAGGACAGTTTTAAATACATTTAAAAGCAGTAGAAATTAAATATAAAACTAAAATAGAATAACACAGGTATAAAATACAATAACAAATGTAATAGTGCTTTGTAAGAAATAAATAATCATTTGAATTAATAAAAGGCAGTGGCAAACAGTCTTCAGCCTTGACTTTAAAGGTCCCATTTCATGGCCATTTCTACTGATCATAATTCCATTGTTGAGGTCTACTAGAATAGATTTCTATTGTTCAATTTTTCAAACTCACATTGGTTTGCTCATAACAGCATCTCTGTATAACGTGTGTGTATTCACTCTCTGTCTTAAACGGCTTGTTGGAGCTCCTGCCCCCCCCCTCCCTGTGAGCCCAGTGTGCTCTGATTGGTCAGCTCGCCCACTCTGTTCTGATGAGTCCACCACCGTTACAGTGGAACATCAGTGATTATGTGTTACAATGGCGTTAGCAAACAGAAAATGACACCAGTAATGACAAACAGATGAGAATGCTGCATGGGGTCTGGGTGCCGTGTTGGCGGGACGTTGCGCGGCTCGCCTGCTGCGAGGAGCGGACTGTGTGAGCTGGGTTAATGTGCTGCGTGGGGTCTGCGAGACATCGCGAATGGACGCGGGACGAAAAAGCAGATGTAACTAACATAACCCTTTTTAATGCAAATGTATGTCTCTTGTTTCCACAGCGGCTACATCGCTATGTTCATTTACCCGTACACATGGAGCTTCTACACAGCGTCCGTGTTGGTTGGGATAGGAGCAGCAGGTAAAACAAGAGACTCTATCTAAGGATGTTTCTGAACAAGACAGCATGTTTTCTCTTTGTTTATATCTCCGGATTTTCTACTTGTATTTTCAAGTCTTGTGGACGGCTCAGGGAAATGTGCTTGCCATCAACTCCACTGATGACACCATCGGAAGAAATAGTGGCATCTTCTGGGCGCTGCTGCAGTTCAGGTGAAACTACCACCCTAGTTTCTCAAAGCAGCAAATCTCTGATATTTATGCATGACATGTTTTACTTTAAATTAGTTATTCCCTTCTAAAAAGGACCTGAACATGATTGTTGTATGAATTACTCATCTTGTGTTAGTCCTGGCACCTAAATGGTGGAATGAGCTCCCCATTGACATCAGGACAGCAGAAACTGTGCATATCTTCCGTCGCAATCTGAAAACGCATCTGTTTCGATTGTACCTTGGCAATTAAATTCTTGAAGAAAAAAAAGAAGCACTTTGCAAAGTTAATTTAAGCCTTGTAATGAATTCACCACAATTACAAATAGTATGACTTGCTTGAAGTGAATATATCTGCACTTTCCTTGTTGTTCGAATCTTTATAGTTATGGAATTTATTCTAAGTCGCTTTGGATTAAAGCATCAGCCAAATGAAATGAAATGTAATGTAACGTGTTACTTTGAATTCTTGAAGATGTTTTTTTTACTCATGACTCCACTCTGAACAAACAATCAAAAAATAAAGAATGTCTTGATGAATTTCATAAAATGGGGCCTCGTTTGATGCCAGTAAAACTATATTAGAACACCTGTTTGCAAACTCTCACACAGTATGCAGTATAGTCCAAGTATAGTCCAAAGTCTGTGTCAGCTAAGTCCTTGACTTCCACTGGTACCATGTAAACCAGTGCTAGCTGTTCCATGGTCGGGTCGTCAGCGACTAAACCGGCTCCCCCACCTGGCCTCGGTCTTGTGTGGAGGGTGATGGAGACACCCAGCAGGACTAAATACAAAACCTGTCAAAGGGCGGATGAGCTCCTCGTGAGCCAACGGCCATCTCCTGCAGCCAATGTTGGCGCCAATGTATTGACCTCTGTCTTTCCTTGGAGTCCTGTCAGCGGAGGCCAAGTGTGGTTCCTGCAGCTTGGGCAACGCTGGAGCCCTCATTCCCGCCCGGGCAAGTGGAATGGAGAGGACACTTCATCGCGGCGGCGTAAACTGTCATTAGTTAAGGAGATCCAGACTCGTATCGGCAAAGCCGCAACGTCTTTCAGTCGTTTGCGCTCAAGAGCCTGGACCAACAAATACCTCACCGAGCGCACTAAGACACGCATCTACCAATGTTGCGTGGTCAGCGTCCTGCTGTATGGTTCCGAGGCGTGGTCAACTTACACGCGGCACGAAAGAGAGCTAAATGCTTTTCACATGCGGTGCCTGCGCAACATCCTCGGGATCACATGGCGGGACAAGTTCACGAACGAGGCGGTGCTGGCGCGTACGGGCAGCAAGTCAATGTTCCAAACACTGAAGGTCAGGAGGCTGCGGTGGCTTGGTCACCTTCGCAGAATGCCAGATGGCCGCCTGCCAAAGGACATCTTATACAGCGAGCTGAGCGCTGGTTCCAGAATATCCAAAGTGTTTTATATTAAGGTTTTACTTAATTAGGCCCCCATTTACTTGAAATCATTAAGAATTTTCAATTTTTTTGCATTCTTTGTTTCACAATGGAGTCATGGTAGAAAAATTTACTTTCTTCAAGAATTCAAGGTAACCCCAGTTGAGTAATTGATAAGCAAATGATCATTTTTGGGGTCAAATATTCCTTTAGCAATTAAAGGATTATTAAAGTAGCTTCCGATTATTTTTCAGAAGCTCTACAAAGTGTTGCATCTCTATTCTTTAGTTTTGAACTCATTTTAACGTCCCTCCTCTCTCTGCAGCTTATTCTTTGGAAATCTTTACATATACTGTGCCTGGCATGGACACGATCACATAACAGGTAGGAAGGAAAACTGTACATGTGCATTAACGGCTATTAATGGAGTTCAGTTCCCTTCAGTTGAAATGTAATCATGTGACTCATGCTGCTGTGTGTCCCAGACAAAGACCGTCAGACGGTGTTCATCTCTCTCACGGTCATCAGTCTGGTCGGCTGCTTCCTCTTCTTCCTCATCCGGAAGCCCGGCCCTGAGGCGGCTCCTGAAGACGTGACAGAGTCGCTGCTGCAGGCCGAGTCTACTGAGAGTACAGCCAGGTGAGGAACACCTGGGGGGCTGTGTGGAAAGACCTGGAAAACTACAAACATCAAACTGTCCTGCAGAATATAACTTCAGGATTCTGTATAAACGTTCCAATTATCAAGTTTGTTGCCAATTAGGCTTTCAATTTGTGTAGTGCATACAATAAACATATAAAGAGGAAATCAAAATAAGGGCAAAAGTCAAGAAAAAAAAATATAGAATCTATATAGAAAAACAATACATACACACACAGGTGATTTCACACAAACATATTTTAAATAAAGGATAGATGCGCTTAATAATCTAAAGGTAAACAAATATGAGAAACACGTGAAAATGTTATTTGTCTTTGTTTTAATTATTATTTGTTTCTTGCTCTTTAATTTCTTCTTCTTTATATTTTGAATTACTTTTTTTTGTTGCACATTTATGTATTCTATTTAATTATCTTTGTATTACCACCATTCTTTATTTACTTTTTTATTCTTTTATGCATTCCACTTTATTTAATTTTCTTCCTTTTTATATTTAAAAACATTTCTATTCACAATTGTATTTGTTCCTCTTGAGTTTTCCATATCGTCTTTGCTTTTCCTTTACATTTCCAAATGTCTTTGTTAACTTACCATTGTTTTATTTTGTTCTGCTTTTTAAAAATTGTTTTATGGATTCCTCTTTATTTTTATGATCTTATTTATTCTTCGATTCATTACTGTTTATACTGTAATGTATATTTGTACAGATTTATTTATTGCTCTCCTATAAATCCATATGTTAGGGGGGTCCAAATCATTCTGCCTGATGTATTATTTGGGTTGGGGGCTCATGATAATAACTAATAATCCACTGTACAGGCAGCCTGAACATTGATCAGAGATATGTATTGTTAGCGAGCAGCTGGGCCTCTTTTCTCTAGTGGTCCTGATGTCAGAAGCAAACATTCCTTTTAAACATTATTTAACAAGAAGGAGAACACCCTCCATAGATTGTTGAACATGTCCTGGAGAGACATTTTTCAAAAGACAGATGGTAGACCTCGTCGTCCCGCCCGGAGCTGGGATGATATGTTTTTGCAGGCCGAGACGGGGTGACCTTTTTCTGTAAATGCTATCCTTTGTAGTCTTTTCCACATTTGTCTTTCAAACTGCTGTAATATGGTCACTAAGACAACCGAGGGCCCGTTTAGGGATGAGTTTAAAGGTGAAAATGTCAACTTAACAAAAATGTGAGCCTGTGAAATGTCGAAGAACAGTTTTATCCAAATGTCTTGATCGACTTCCTCTTTCCAGCTCATCGCACCAGAGCATCGGCTCACAAGCTCTGGATGCTTTTGGTAAGTTTTGACTCAAATCAACTGCACTTCATAGGCTTTGAAAGGGGAATTGTGATGTAATGAAGTGTGGTTGTATCCTGCCTGTTCCTCCAAACTGAATCACTGTAGGTAACACACTGATTGTGGAGAATAACCTAATTCATTCCCATTTCTAAACATCACAATTATCCCTTTTAAACTTTAGACAAACAGAACTGCTAACCTCCACCTTTCTTTTTCTGCAGTTAAAGCGTGCAAAATGTTTGTCACCGAAGAGATGCTGCTGCTGAGCTTCTGCATCGGATACACAGGTGAGAGAGAGAGAGAGAGAGAGAGAGAGAGAGAGAGAGAGAGACATAATGAA